CTATTAAGTTTTAATATGAAGTTATAAAAATGAAAGACAGAAATTCTCTTTAAATTAGAACTGAGTAATTAGAAACTAGTTTGTTGCCATTTGTCGAGTTCTTAGCATGGTTGAGTTATATATATACATCTGTAACTACTGTTCGCCCAAGGCTCTGCATATATGAGTACATAGGTACGTTGATAAAAATAACTTGTGTTTAACCAAAATATAAGCAATCTTTATTTCGAATTTCACTGAAATTCATTGAATTTTTATGTGACCATGTTATTTTTATAAGATCATTTTAGTGTAATTAAAATTTCAATATCAGTTTGGTACATACAATCTAGTCTACGTAATAATATGATTACTTGAGCCGATCAATGTCACGTACTTTTTATATTGAGAAATCAATTAAAGACATCAGCTGCTGCTAAAGTTTCTGTACCGACTGGTGTAATTTTTTGCAGTGAATATTATCGGGGGCGTAGCTCAGATGGTAGAGCGCTCGCTTAGCATGCGAGAGGTACCGGGATCGATACCCGGCGCCTCCAATCAGATTTTTTAATGTGATTTTTCATAATTTTATTATATATCTTTTAACTTCATTAAGTTTAATTAATATCATAAATAATTTATCTCCTTAATCATCAATTCAAGGAATCTCGAAAACAATTTTTATGTAAGCACCAAACAGTTAAAAACAAAAATCACAAAGTATAGCCCTCTCAAAACGTACTCAAGAGATGAAAATCTTCGTCGTTAAAACATTTTATATACTGACAGTTAGCTAAAATCATATTTTTGTGATGCTACAAACTTTTAACTTGCAAAGTGGGGAAAAAGTTGGCTGTTGGAATACTTTGAAAACGTTTTTAGAGACTGTTTGAAAAAACTTTTATTTACACTGGTTGGTCCGCCAATTCTAGGAAATTGAACATTTTAATTAATTTTTATGAATTTCGCTTGTGTACTCCGAAATGATTTGTTTAATCTAGTTCTAAACTTTTAAATTAAATTCGAAAGGAATATGAAGTATTCAGAAAGTTAAGAATACTAAGTCGTAGTATATTTAGGAATAGTATGTTTATTTTATGTTATATTAACAATTCAAAAGTACCTACTTTTAATACGTCTATTCGAATAAAGTTTTATTTCATTCATACAATATTTTACAAAACATATGTTTGGTAATTTAGACGGATGTATATATGTATATGAATGCCAAAGAGAATTGTATTTTGCCAAACTTAAAGCAAGGGGGCGTAGCTCAGATGGTAGAGCGCTCGCTTAGCATGCGAGAGGTACCGGGATCGATACCCGGCGCCTCCAATAAGATTTTTTTTTATATTTTTATATCAATACTTTGGTTTGATGATTTTATTTTATTTATTAGTCTCAATACATACATATATTATTATGATTGAAGACAATGACAAACATAATACTATCTTAGATTTACGCGAATATTTAACATTATAATAAGTAATACCTATAATAAGTCTTAATTAAACATGGCAATATTATTTATTTAATTTTAGCTGTTATTATTATAAATATTACAATTTTTTTAAACTTTATTAATTATTAATATTATTTAGTGTTGCTATTATTATATTACATATGTATAACCATAAAAAAATAAAATGTTTAGAATTAAAATCAATAAATATTATAATGTACTTTGGTGTCATTTTTTAATTTTTGAAATCATTTTTATAAAATTGTGGGTAGGCACTGTCTGTAACAAGTATATAACGCCTTTGAGACATCTAAAACCTTAGTATTTCCCGTGACCATGATTGCTGTAAAGTACTCGAAACGTCGGGAACTAGAAATCAAATTAAATCCGCGAAATAATCCGAAAAGATAGTTGTATTTAAAACAATGACTGAATTTGAATAGCTCGCAAAATGAATAACAAAGTGTAGAGCACGTAACAAGTACTAATGTTAACAAGAACTCTCCATGAACGAACAATGGGGAACAATAAAGCCACAATAATTATTTTAAAATCAATACAAAACAATATCAATGCCAAAAATACAATAGATACTAGAAAATCAGAGAATTCTCGATCATATTGAAACTACAAAGTGAACTTCCCACAGCGTGCGAGGCGAATTCAGAACAGCATAATGCAATAAAATTTAATTTACTACCGACTCATTCTCGCTTAACCCGGGTTCGTCCCTATTGAAAAACATAAACAAATGTATCCCACGGGAACCGTATATTTTTTCCGGGATAAAAAGTAACATATGTGCTATTCCAGCCTAATAATAATCTATCTCTGTGTCAAATTTCATCCAGATCCGTTCAGCTGTTCTGGCGCGAAAGAGTAACTAACATCCATCCATCCGTCCATGCATGGATTAATTTAAAATATTAGTATTTATGAGATTATCTAACAAATAGATTAAATAAATTTTAAACATACTAAGCGTCACGATATTGTAATCACATAGGCAAGTAATACATGAAACAATCTATTAATCCCTCCAGGATCGCGGACACGCCGGCGTTACAGTTAACAATACATTTCTTAGAAATTTACCTGAAGGTGTTAAAACTTTACTAGGTTATAAAATATAATATCGGAAAAAAACATATTTCTTAACAAAATACAAAATTCCATATTAAAATTCACTGACGTATATAGGAAAATCAAAGGATATAGGTAGCAGTCGGGGTAAACAACAAAACTACTTCGTTCGAACTCTACTGTTCGCGGCAGAGAGTGCGCTCTACAACGACAGCTCATTATTCGGCTCTCCAATTAGCCGATGTCATTATATTCCTTTACTTTCACTATTTAAATTAATTATTTATTTGTACTCTGTGTGTCACCGCTAATTTTAATTGATTGAATGATTTCTTACAATACATTTTTTAATTATTTTTTTCACAGATTTGAGTAAGCAATATGGATTTATCAAGCTATTCGCAGGTTCTTTTTTTAAAATAGACATTTAAAAACTGATTCATCTATAGTATAAGGATACTCAATATTAAAATAATAATAAACTAAATATGTACTTACTAACACTAAAATGTCGGTTAATCTGTCTATCCGTATGTACTTGTCAATGTGTCAGACATTAAATTACAATACAAATATTATTTTATTTACTCTAAGTTTATTTCCTTTAGCATAAAATGATGATGTAATCTGATGTTACTGTTATCATTAAAACTTTTAAACATCAAATTCCATGAAGCTGTCGTTGTTTACGGGTGAGAAACTACAGTACATGAGGTTACGATGAACTAACACTGTATTTTAGTGGCTATCGACACACGAACAAATGATTAGAATATTCTACAATAAACCTAAGGCCTACATTTTCATATAAAGTTTTATTACATGAATAATAAAAAGTGTGATATACATATATTAAACAGACATACTTACCTAAGGGAATATAATTAACAAAATACATAGATTTATTAAAATACTATTTTTAGACTTCGAAAACAAAGGTCTTGAATTACCTTTAACGAGAATCAATATAGTGAATTTATTATTTTATTATTGACAAAAACAAAAATACTGAAACCAAAAAAAATATGGATAAAACTCGAATATAAAAAAAGACAACTATTATCAAACGACACATAAATATAATTATTTATCTTTTCGGGTAAATCTAAGAATAGATATTTTATACGATTCCATCTTCCAAACATTCTAATGTTACAAGAAATTAATTAATTTCCCATGGGGCGTCTTCGCTGTCGCCAACATCACGAGTTTACGTGATTTACAGTATATTAAAACATCACTTGTGGTTTCTACAGATATTAGCTTTTATTAGCAATTGTTATTATTTATATATAAAAACTTAAAAAACCTACTTCCAGGCACTAAAAAGTAAAAAAAAAATAACTAAAGGGGGTTTTCATTTAGAATAGATACCTAATCAGATATTTTTGGTAAGTTTTTAAAAGTTTTTATTTTCCATTTTTAGTGTAGACGTAATAAGCAGGTAATTTTAAAGAAGAAAGTTTTTAATAACATATTCGATTAGGCAATTTATTAAAAAAAAAAATTTATTGTTGATTTTTAAAAAACCGCTCGTCCGATTTCAATAAAATTTAAATAGGACCCTACGAAACAAAAATATTCCAAATTGGTTCAGGCATTTTTGAGTCATCAGTAAACATACATAAAAAAAAGATTCCGACGAATTGAGAACCTCCTTCTTTTTGGAAGTCGGTTAATGAGATTACTCATATTAAAGAAAATGATAATTTAATTTGTTCAAATAAAAGTTTCTAAAAGAAGTTCGAGCTATAGGTAACTAAGAAATTTTTACGACGACATAAGATAAATGCACTCGGTAGACTATACATATCCTAGCCGTGAGTCAATTTCATGGCTCGTCACATAACTAACGATTTTTATTTCTTTTAACATGAACAGAAAAAACATTTTCAGCCTTTTTATAGGTTTAAAAGCTTTACTGGATTTTTTTCTCAATTGATCAATAAAATCATACTGAAATTTAACATAGAAATGAAATCAAATTTCTTTTTAAGCTTTTTTCGTAGTTCTGCGTCTATACCACGAATTCTACTTTAAAAAAATCTGTTTTTCTCTATTTTGGGCGAAAATATTTTAAACCTCGTAAGCGAAGGTTGCCGAATAAAAAGGCACTTTTGACGAATTTCATAACAAGTTATTGTTGTTTTAGGTCAGTAGTTAAGTATTTGCAAACGTGATTTTTTTTTAAATGAACTATGAGGAAATTTAAAGTAGTAAATTAAGCATTTTAATGAAACAAAAACTGCTTGTTACATTTATTTTTAATCTATCTGACCCTACAGCCGTTGTCGTTTTCCAATTTCAATTAACTTGTTTAAAAAAGGGCATAGAACTTGGCAACATTTCGCCATCTTTACTTTTTTCTATGCTTACAGCGCATTATGAAATGAGAACCACATAGATTAAAGATTACAAATTAGGACAAAACATTCTCTTATTATCTATATTATAGCTTTAAACCAAGACTTACCGATCCTTTCCTTCCGGGGAAACTGAAGAACACATCAGGACCGTTTCTATGGGGCATTTGGCGGAGCACGTTCAACAGCTTAGCAGAGTGTCGCGGCTGTCAACATTAATAATATATGTATTAGTTACTAATACTAAATAGTTCCTATTGCAGGTGTGTATATATTATTGATTCAGTTTTATTTATTTCTATCAATGATAACAAACTTTGACAAGCTCGAAGCTCATCTAGCATAGTAAGACAGCTTAAAAGGTCTCATTATACTAATATACGATGTAAGCTATCATCATACTGAATTTCCAAAACTGTTAAGCTGTCATATCATGAAGAAATAACAAACACTGAGTGTTTATTATTTCCTCTCACTGTTCCTTCACCCACTGTGCCATCCTTAAACTTTTCCATTTATACCTAATATAAGAACAACATACACGTTATCTTTTATTATATTAATCTACTATAAAATGTTTTTTTTTTTTTCAAATTTTAGTTCGCTATTACGTTTGTGTAAATGACGAATATCCGTTGCTCTGTAACCATAACACCATCACCAGAAGACGCGAGGAGAGATTAAGGCATGTCTAAAACTAATTTTAGTGATATGGAACCATTGTTTACTCAATAAGTTTATAAGAAGCTTTACAGATAATAAGTCTATAAGAAGCGTTACAGACAGCCTACCCACAATTAACAAAATTATTTTGTTAATTGTGGGTAGGCTGTCTGTAACAACTATACATTCAAGACATGTAACACCTCAGTCTCTCCCGTGACCATGGATGCTGTAAAGCATTCGAAACGTCGGGAAACAAAAATCCAAATAAATCCGCGACAAAATCCGAAAAGATAGTTTTATTTAAAATAATATTTACATTAGTTGTTCTAACTTGAATAGTACGAGGGCAAAATATAAGCGGCGTATAAGTAGTCATTCGTTAAGTGTAGGCTATCTGAGCGGCTCTCTAATTAATTGGGAATGTTCGTAAACGACCCTGTTTATTGTCGGCTGATTACACCGCGTGAGGTGCTTCGCTATTACGACATATGGGTTTAATGCCTTTTTCGTTGTTTTGGGGTCACAAATTAAACTCTGGACTTTGTTCTTCATATCTTTGCAACATATGTATTTTGTATATGTGAATGTAATATAAAACGCTACCCAGTTATACATAGTGGTATATTATTTAGCGAAGTTTAAAATTTTACCCTCACTTATGTGTAGATACATATGTATACCACAAGGGTACTAGTATTCAGCATTACAGAAATCGAACCCCTATATAGTTTGTAAGGCTTAAGGCAATCTTCACTTATTTCCTAAACATTTAACAATGTTATACTTTAGAGCTCAGTCTTACTTGAGAAAGTATCACTTAAGGCTAAAACAATTTTTAAAAAGTGTACTTATTTCCCAAGCAGCAGAAAATAAATATACAGCGAATAACATTCTGCTTAAAAGCACTGGTAGAAGCCCCATTTCTGAACGAAATACGTAATCTCGCTTATAAACAAGATAACTGCAGTCGAGCTAACTCGAGATAAATTCCGCAGCCTCCCCCGCATTGTCTCTCTCACGTACCAAGGCACCATGAACGCGAATAGATATTAAAACGCGGCCAAATACAGAGGGTGTCGCTTTACGTTCAATTAGTAAAACCTCGAGTGCTCCTCGAATTTGCATCGTTATATAGTAATTAGCAGACAGGAAAGGCACGGCTACAGTATTTACGTTCGTCGGGAGTCTCGTGTTTTCTCATTTATATTTATTTTTGCCACCTATATTTAGCTTGCAGTTTTTAAGAGAGATACTTCTATACAGTAGGTACAGTAAATCTAAAGCAACGTGAATACAAGTAAAAACTAACATCAACTCAGTGAAAGAAAAATTTTCAGATTATTTTTAGTAAAAGACGCGAAGTAAGATTGTTTTACGCCCATCTGCTGAGCGGATAGGATGAAAAGCAGTTTGTAAAAAACACAATATATAAACAAATACATATATCACAGGTAGACTGCCTAATAAATTATTGACGATCCTATATTAAAATATTTTTTTTTAATATTTTACATACTTTCCTGCCAAATAAATTCGAGTTTCCATTTGTCAAATATTTTGTTTAAAAAGCTATTAATATAACATGCCAGTCTAAAGCAAATATGTAATAATTGAAGACTTTTATACATATACTATAGCTGCTCACCCTCGCTTCGCTCGGGTTCGCCTCTAGAAAAGCACAAACAGATCTATCCCACGGAAACTCTTTAATTTTCCGGGATGAAAAGTATCTAAAATGTTGACATGTATATAAGGGTACCACCCTACAAAATTTCATTTATCATCATATATATATTTATCCAACAGTTTCGGAGATTAGCCCGTACAAACAGACAATCAGACAGAAAAAAAATTGTAAAAAATTTTTATTTGTTCTATTTCTCTTCTTACACCCTCGTGACTCGGTTTTTAGCATTTCTTTTCTATGTACAGACATTCGACCTCTACAGTTTTATTATATGTATAGTTTTATTATATATATATTACTGGTAATATTCATTATACAATAATACCACTGTCGAAAAGCCTTAATTGAGTTTAGATGTTTATAGTTTCTAATTTTATGTCCAAGTTGCTCACCCATTTTCCGTTCACTGCTTTCATAGCGTTAAACAATTGCTTCAATTCTTTCACAGTGACGCTGTAGCTTGCCAGGACACCCAGCATCTCTATCAGCAGATCTGTAACAATAAAAATGATCTTTAATGTACGGAAAATAAAATATATATATATATATATATATATATATTGTAGGCCCACATTTATAAAAATCATAAAATAAGACTTTTCATTACGCGTGTTTGACTTAAGGATATAAATAAAGCAAAATTAGATTTTATTCGTATATATTATAATACCGTATGTATCAAACGTTGTTATGTTTCATATATCGAATACAAAGGCAATATGATACATGTTATACCAACTGTGAAACAGAATGCTGATGAATATTCAGTTTCCATACATTATTCAATAACAAATAGACCCTCTAATAAAGACTTCGCTACCGATCGCGTATTATACAACAACAACTTGAGCTTATTCGCTATAGTTAACAAGGATCTAATCTATTCCTTATTTCTCGTGTGAATTGATTAGTAACTTTGTTGGTTTGTTTATGTACACATTATGAAGAAGCAATGGATAGATGTACAGAATTTTTTAGTAAAGAAACTTCCTATAGAGTGTTGGATGGAAGCAAAAGCTATTCCAGTGGGATATGGTATTGGTCTCTTAAAAAATATATATGTCTATGTTATAATACTTTATTCTGATTTACGCGAATATTTGAAATCTTTTAAATAAAACTATTTTTTTGGATTTTGTCGCGGATTTATTTGGATTTTTATTTTTTGGTTCCCGACGCGACGTTTCGAATGCTTTACAGCAATCATGATCACGGGAGAGACTGAGGTGTTAAATGTCTCGAATGTATAGTTGTTACAGACAGCCTACCCACAAATAACAAAATGAAAAATTGCACCAAGTACCTTACAATGTTTTATAACTTTAAACATTTTTATAATTGCTGTAAAGCATTCGAAACGTCGGGAACCAAAAATCCAAATAAATCCGCGAAAAAATCCGAAAAGATAGTTTTATTTAGTATGTCTATGTTTTTCTACTAACGCTTAAGTTATCTTTACTAATATTATAAAGAGGTAAAGTTTGTGAATTGTGAGTTTGTGACGTTGTATGGGGCTAATTTCTGGATCTACAGAACCGATTTAGATGAAATTTGGTAAGAAGATAGTCTGAGACCCTGGGAAGGACATAGGATACTTTTTATCCCTGAAATCATCCCTTATGGGAGTGAAAATGGGGATGAAAGTTTGTATGGCGAATCAAGCTCGCTAGTATATAATATAAAAAAGTTGCACATCATAAGTTACATACAGTTACTCAACTATATATACAAGTATGTAATTATTCAATTGATAAACACAATCCGTCTTGCTTAATAATTAAATCATATCTACAAAGTTTAATTTAGGTTATTGTTTTATTTAGCTTGTTATTTATGATTGTTACTTATTACAATGTTGTGCAAGACTTAGTGCTCGCCAACAAATTAGGTATTCTCGTCGAATTAATAATTCAAGTGAAACATTAATCGGAATACCAAATGGGCGAGTTGGCGCTTGGTAGCGGCAAATGGGGTGTAACGCACATATCTGAATATTTAGAGCTCAGTGTAACTTTGTCTCTTCTTTACTTTCTGCTTTAATATTTTGCCATTTGCATTTTTGACTAAGTACAAACTACTACTAGAGAACGTCTTTAAAATAAACATTTTTAAATCTTATGATAGTAATAATATGAAAATAAAATACCTTCATTTTGATCAGTTTTGCTATTCTGTAGACTTTAAGAGCTTTTATGTAATTGTCGGGCTGTGTAAAGCTGAATCCGCAAAAATACTTCATAAAATATACTTCGATTGTGTTCGTGGATTCAGCTGTCGAGTTACATAATAGTTCTTACAGAATAGCACTACAGGCCTAATTTGCAAACGATACGAAGTTACATGAAACGAAATACATATTTCTATTAGATTCATAATTTAGCTAACCAAACGTACAATAAAACCGACTATATAACTTATTCCTATACGAATTAATTTAACAAGCAAACTTATCGATACTCGTAACAATATATCTTGTCTCTTTATCTATATTTTACTATAATAATACAAAAAAACTGTATACATATATATCATCAGGTCCCTATTAAATTTAAAAAAAAATCGTGTGTGTGTACTTATGTACGCACGTAAGAAGTTATACTTCTTTGGCGTAACAGAACAAAAATAGCTAAAGATTTCATCTTGTATGTCACAACTCTCTGTTTGTAAAAGGAATGCAGCTAAATTCATTATGTCGTTTGTTGGCTGTCGGTGTTCGCGCGCAGCGTAAAATTTTAATACTCATATTTTTTTCCAAACGTGCCAAAGGAAGTATAACTTCAAAAAATACACATAACCAAATAATGTACAAAAAAAAGATCACAAAGCCTTTTCAGTACATTCAATCCACAGCTGCCAACTGTTGAAGAACTAAAACAATACAATGAATTGAGCGAAACAACGAGCAAGTAAAGCCCACGCATCGATTCTCTCAGTACCAGGCGTTCATGAACGACGAGGGTATTCACCAATTGGCCGACACTTGACATTCTGGACGCACGTGGGCGGCGCGGTGCATTTAATGCAACGCGCTCGAATTACAGCTTGTGTTTCTTGTCACGTGACATCCACTTTCTTTGCAATGTAAATGACGTGAGATACTAAATTTAACATGTAAATGGGTTATTTTTGTTGCATTATGTTCATATCGATGTAATCTTTGATAAATGTGCTCTGTTTGATTTCTTTCATTTTATTTGGTTGAACAGTTTTTGATGAATTTTGTATGGGAGCTATATAAATTAATATATATTATGTAAAACTAAAACCTTAGGGGTAAAATGTAATGTACATATCTTCTAAGCTATAGTATAAATTATTGGAAATAATAAAAAAGTAAATATAATATTTATTTATGTAATTGGAACAATTGAATAAAAATGTTTTACTAATTGAATTCAATCTTAATGAAACCAAATAAAAATGTACGCACGTACACGCAATAACAAGCAACGTAAAATAAAACGGTTCGTGTAAACACAGATAAATTAAATGAACTGCACAAGACAAATTATAAAAGGACTGGCAAAATATTTCAAGAAAATTTCTTCTTATAAGTTCATTAGCAAAATCAACATTGCCTCCCTTTTGCGACCATGTTTTTCGTTCCATCTCTGGTTCATAAATTTACCAAAAATTTACTTAAAATCAGCATTAAGAAGATTTTTTTTACATTTACGGTTTTATTATGTACCAGCGACTCACCCTCGCTCCGCTCGGGTCATCCCTAGATACGTTTTAATGATTAATATATAGATTTCTCAGAGATGAGATATTTTCTCGCTGTAAAAAGTATCCTATATGTTGACCAGATTAACCAGCTATCATCATACCAAATTTAATCAAAATCCGTCGAGTGGTTTTCTTATGATGCGTTCCCAGACAGACAGACAAAAATTCTAAAAACCATCGATTTTGCCTCTGTATAGATAATAGTGCCTGTTTTAATAAGATTTTCCAAAAAAAAATATTAATGTACAGATATAAAGAAAATGTAGTTAGCACTGAATAGGCCATAAAGTTATGTGTATTTCATAATAATTGTTCCATTGGTTTACGCTTCACGCTTAGTTGGAGTCTTTTACTAATGTCCCCGATTACAAATAATACCTAAGCGTTTCATAATTATCGTAATACAGCCAAAGCTATATAAAGTAATATATATATATACATCTTATACGCATTAACTAAGATTAATTATCACAAAGCTTATTATTTCTGACAATTAGGATAAGATCTCATTTAGATTGGACAGATCTACAGTAATACGAGTATGTACAAATAATTTATATAAAACTAACCGTAAAAATTTATTGAAATGAAAACCCGATGAATGTCATCTAATGTATACACAATGTAAGCCAGACTGATCCCACGGCCGCAGCTAATCCCGGTAAATCGCGAAACAGTCCGGGATCGGGATTGCAAACGCTTACAAAGTTAAATACGGAATTAAAACAGCTTACAGAAAAACTGATCACAAGAACGTACGTTATATTTTAAATATAATTTTATATGAACAATGTTTTGTTATTATGAATTTCGGAAAACTTTTCAATTAACCGAAATTATTAATTAAGCGGATGATGTGGTATTTGGAATCGAGCTTAACTCAATAATAAATAGTAATTTTACATAATTTTCATATAATTTTCAAAGCATATTATTTACGCTAAATCATGATATATGTAATATGTATGTATGTCATAGTTATTTCCTGTGACTACACCCGTTCTCCCTTACGTTTATATTTCTACTTCGCTTGCAACATGGTCTCACTTTGTATCGAAACGTGTAAGATGAAAAACTCAAGGATTAACACGTCATAATAATAGTTGTTCAAATGTTTACGTGGATAGCAGAGATGTCAATATCGTCGCATCCTGTATTGATATTTGATACCTACATAATGTTTTAAAATAGGAACAGGTTAGTGTGTGGATTATATAACTTCTCCTTTTTAAAAGACGGTCAATAATAATTACTAAATTATTCATTACAAAGTAATTTATTTGTTTGATACTCGTGATTCTGTAGAATCAGATCTTCGTATTTTCATTCCATTTTTATGATTCATATACATATTTGTAAAACAATATCACGCTTATTCGACTTAATATAACACACACGTACGTGTGTATATAATATGTATATGAATGTATACAATATGTGATGTGATCAACTACATTCAACAAGCTCTACCTCGTAGCATTGAACAATGGGGGCAAATGAAGTTATTTTGTTGACAGAGCGCCGCGGCACTGTACCGGGGACTATTGTCCCCACAATTACATGTAAGTGTAATTATTACGACATTTACTTTAATAAACGTAAACAACTATGTTAACTTTTATAATGTTTCATTATAATCAAAAATTAGCGACTCAATCTCTATCAGACTAGTCATGTGTGTAGGTGATATTATAGTGCCAATATATTAATAATAATATGCGTGGGAACATAAATAAGTAACCTCTCGTTTCACGTCCATACTCT